ACCTGCCTCGGGCCTCCAAGGATTTGTCTCTAGTCTTGAAGCATCCCAGTTTGTCAAGCGGCACTAGTGGTTGTGAGTGAACTCGCCCATCCATTATACAATGGGGCCACTTGGAGTACCATCATGATGGTTTTGAAAAATGGCCTTTTAGGTTTTAGTTTACTTTTATATTCTTTAGTTTAGTCAGCATCATTATTTTCCGTATTCATGGTCTAACGCTCACAAACTTCGGATCTTGGGCTGTTAATTTGGGGAAAATATGCTGCAGGAATTCAACATATGAAAAATGTATACCAAAAAGCAGAAAGGGATGAGACCATTCAGGGGGAAATCGGCCTGGAAGTGACTGCTGATAAAAAAGTTCACTCATTAGGTAAAATTTTCCATTAGAACCTTTTTAATCATTTTTTGTTGAATTTAACTATTCATATCAGTATTGTGAATGAGAATCTTGTTAACAGTTCTAGACGGCCACTGCCAGACATCAAATAACCCCGAACTCCAGACAATGTACCTGCCTGGCCGAGGAATCTTGTTTACATTCATTTGCAATTGGCCTCATGGGTACTTTCTTTTTGCCATGTCTCTGTCTTTGAGCTTTCAATCTACTTGTGTTGGAAACTGGTATCATGCAGGTGGTGCAAAGCCAACTTGATTAATTCTTCAAATGGTCAAGATATTGGAGTAAATACTACATAGGATCGAGAAAATGGTATTTACAATGGAAATAATTGCACAATGTACCGAAGTTTTGTGCCTTCTTTGAATTTACGTTTGCATTTATCAGTTCTGGATCCATACATGTATTTACTGATTTGCTGTGTATTCAAAACTACAGTATATCTCATCAAGATATTCTCATGTATATTTGTCCAGGTTTTTCACTCAAATAATGCATCTCAGTTCTTAGGGTTATCATTTTGACATTGTTTAATCTATTTTCTTTAATTTGAATGCTTAATATTGGTTATTTAGTGATTTGATTACATGCTGGGCAACAATTACGGATAATGACCAAGATTTTGGTTTTTTATCATCATCATCATGTACAATTTTATATATTACAAGATTCTAAACATGCCATAAAAGTGAGTTATCAATAAATGTATTGGAAAGATTATAAAATTGATTAAGCCCTTGTTTGACACATATTATTTGAGAAATTAAATTTGGGAAATTAAAGAGTTTTGAATAGTATTTTTTGGACAACGTGTGATTAAAAAGTAAAGGAATTTTATTGATTTGTGTGTGGAATATTTTATTATATGAATGTGTGATGGAAAATCATACTATAACGAATAATTTAAAATTTTAAAGGTTGTCAAACACACACTAAGGGCCTATTTGGGAGCGATTTTCCTCCCAAAAAATTGATTTTTTGACCGTTATTTCACTATTTCAGCCATCATATTTGACTTCTTTTCTCACAGGTGGATTCCACTTTTCTTCTAACGATCAAAAAATCAATTTTCAAAATCATTTCCAAACATGCTCTAAATAGATAGAGGCACATAAACCATTATTTTCCTTGCAACTTATTTTATCCTATCGCCAAAGACAAAGTATAATCCTTAATAATTTTATATTTGCCTTTTTCAATCTCAGTAAAAAAAGTTTTTAAAATATCGGTCACTGCCTTTTTAGTTTCAACAATAGTTTCTTCAGTCTCTTTGGATATGCTTCACGGCAATCGACTCCTCTAATCTCCAGCTTTGGGACTTTTTTTCTGTAATTATAGAGAGTGAGTGAAGAGGCTGAGACGAAATTGAGTATAATATCCCAAACTTGGTGAATAACTAATGTATAGGCAAATGCAACAGCAAAATCAAAGACGAGAAAACAGACCATGAACAGCTCACTTGAAAAAAATGCCTCCCAGCTCCAGATTTATTAGTGGGAATACCGAATATGCTTGAAGAATTTCAATGTCTTTCTTTCTTTGTTATTTGATTTTCTTCCTACATGATATCAGATTGATAATACATTGTCATTACTATGAAACATTATTTCACAAACCGGTAATACTACAGAGGGAAAAAGGGCCTTAAATTCTTGCAACGTGCCTTTGCCAGGAAAGAAATCAAGAAGAAGAATAGAGAGCAATGAAGATGCTACGTTTCTTACAGATTAAGAGACAAAGAAAGGGCTTTGAGCATGTTTTGCCTCGTTGAAATGCTAAACTTGTAGCTATTGTCATTTTATTTAATTCTCTCTAAGTTATGTTTCACCATCTCTTTGAGTGTCAATCGGAAAGTAGTCGAAGGTAGACATTGAAGATTCTCAAGTGCTAGATCAGCTTTCAATTTTGCCAACTCCCGTGCCTTATC